GGCCTTAAAGACAAGAAAGCCATCACCTATCAAGCAATGGTTGTTAGAAAAGTTACCCCAGAGAGGTAATCAAGTATTGCTTCACAAGATAGAATGTTTTCATACTAAACACTCCAAACTCAACTGCCATATAGTCGATGGTGACTCATAGCGACCCTATAGGACAGGGTCGAACTGCCCCTGTGGGTTTCTGAGACATCACTCTTCGTGGGAGTAGGTCTCCTCCTTCTCCCATGTAGCGGTTGGTGGTTTCAAACTGCTGACCTTTAGTTTTTAGCTGAGTGCTTAACCACTGTACCATCACGGCTCCTTCTATATTTAGGATAGTGCCGTATAAATAATTTTCTCTAATTATATGATTAAAATTTTTATTTTCTTTATTTCCTACAATTTAAAGGAAATCCTTTTTAAGTAGTATGTAAAATACATAGATTTAGCCTGCCTTCTCAGTTCAATTAGATTAAAACATTTTTTTTTTGGTAAGATAATACATATTCAGTGCAGAAAACTTAGGGAAAAAATGTCTTAGAAATACGAAAATCACTAATAATTTTACTGCTCAGAAATAACCCCGATAACATTTTGGTCTATTTCCTCATTGACTTTTTCAGAGACTGTCCTACACCCAGGAGCACTGGTGGTCTAGTGGGTTACACACTAGACTGCTAACTCTCAGGTCAGCAGTTGGGAACGACCAACTGCCCCATACAAGCAAGGTGAGGCTTTCGGCTTTCGTAGGCATTCACAGCCCGGGGAGCCCACAGGACCAGTTCTGCTCTGCCCGTCAGGGTGGTCTGAGTGGGCATTGACTCAATGGCAGTGAGTTTGTTTATGGTACACAGCCCACATCCAACAAAGCCTTCTATATATCATACTGTTGATGTGCTTATATTTTACTTTTTAAATTTTCATTTTTTATGGGGAATAACATGGGAACGTCTTGAAATAACTGAAAATTATGGTTTTAACAATCTGTCTTTTGAACTGATATTAATTTCTGTAATGCTCTCCTAATTTTGGATATAGAAATATGTTCCAATTTTTCACAATGAATTCTACTAGGATTGTTATGTTTCTACTTAAATGTGTGCCTTTTGGATAATTTTCCTAAGCTAAACTTTTAAAACTTTAATTAGTAAGTCAGAATTCAGCTTGGTTTGATGTATGGTCAAGTATCCACTACTTGTAAAATGTCCTTGTAGACTCTGTTATGAAGGACAAAAAATAAATATATAAACTTTGTCTTAGTCATTGAGATTTTCCACACAGGTATTGAGGAACGACCTTTAGGTGTTAAACGTATTTTAAACAAAAGTAGTTTTTAACAACAAACAACAATAAATGTTAACAATTCTTAGGAAGAGAGAGTACTTTTACTTAG